CCCCCCCCAACCCCAGTATTGTCTTGCCTAAGTCAGTCTCCTAAAGAGTCCTAACAGCTGTGGAAACTCTTGCTTAGAGGGTTGAACTTGAAGCAAGAGATGAGTGTGTGGAGCCACTGTGAGTAGCGGGGCGTGCTCACAGACTGTGTGGTCCTGAGACCCGGACACCGAGCACTCCAGATGCTTTGGGTGTGTCACTTACCGTTCTGTAGAAGAGGCAGAGGCAGCTATAAATGCAAGGCCACAGAGGGCTGACTCATGAGAAGATTCTCAAAGAAAGACCGGGTGCCCACTTAACTACGAAAAGATCTTTTCGCTGGTAATATCAAAGAAGACTCTGAAGAATACCCCCATGGGATAACTTTGAGCAATATGGGAAAAATAAATAATGCCTGACCAAGGCGGTGGCAAGAAGAGGGGCTTTGTTTTGTAACTGTTGATGACTATGATTTCATAGATAAGATTATCATTCAGAAATACCATACTATGAATGAGCACACCTGTGAAATAAGGAAACCCTGGCTGAAACAAGAGATGGTCCGTGCCTCCTCCAGCCAAAGATGTTGAAGTGGTTCTGGAAACTTCAGTGGTGACCATGGAGGTGGTTTTGATGGGAGTGACAACTTCAGTCACGGCAGAAACTTCGCCGGGCATGTGATAGCTTTAGTGACAGCTGTGGTAGTGGCACATATGGAGGCAGTGGGAACGGTTATAATGAATTCAGTAATGATGGCAGCAATTTTGGAGGTGGCAGAAGCTACGATGATTTTGTCAATTACAACCATCAAACTTCAAATTCTGGCCCAATGAAGGTAAGAACTATTGGAGGCAGAAGAAGTTCTGGCCTTTATGATAGCAGAAGTTAACTACTTTGTTACTCTGTAACAACCAGGGTGGTTACAGAGGTTCAAGCAGTAGCAGTAGCTACGGCAATGACAGAAGATTTTAATGACTACCAGGAAACAAACCTTAGTAAGAGAGGTGAGCCAGAGAAGTGACAAGGGAACTACAAGTTACAACAGATTCGTGCACTCAGTTAAATAGTGGGGTGTGATGGCAAGGCCTAGATGATGCTACAAAGAAATCATCTTATATGACAAAATACCCATTTATAAATTATCAAGGGTTCATGCGGGAGGGGGGAGCGGGGAGGGAGGGGAAAAATTAGGACCCAATGACGGGGGTTTAAATGGAGAGAAAATGTTTTGAGAAACGATGTACAAATGCGCTTTACACAATTGATGTGTGTATGGATTGGGATAACAGTT